TGCTGAGGATTACAGTGGTAACAAACATTAACATTAATGCACAGGGGGATTTACATGAGTTTCTCCCATTTACACTAATTGAAGTTATTAGTGTAAATCCCTGCGCAACGGCAGGAAAAGAAGACCCCTAAGGGTTAATCTTACAGCCATATGTTCTCGTTCTTTAGAATGCGAGTAGAATTCTTTTCAGTAGATAACTTCTTCATGGCTAAAAATAAAACAAACAACTGCAGGATGACTCATACAACGACATTCAATTTCACATCCTCCAGATTTTTCTAAACAAGATGTTTTTTTCAAGCAAAGTGTCCATCCAGATGCATTTCCCTCTCCTCTCCTCCTAAGAGTGAACATTCCTGGTGTTGCACAGGCTGCTAAGGCCAGGAGAAGGTCCGGCTTGGTAAAGTGTAAACAAAAGATTTTAGCTCTATAACAGTGGATTGATGCAATGAACATACCTCCTGAGTACAAACTATTAAAACAAAAAAACGCTACCAGTTCTGCTCTACTTGAACAACCTTCACCAATCAACAGACTTTGAGCAAACAAACAAATAAAAAAAGAGAACAAAAAAAAAAAGAGAAAAATATACTTACAATCTGTTGCCATGCCAACAAAGATACATTTTTTGAAGCGACATTCCTGGCACTGGTTTCTTGTTACTTTGTCTACCACACATTTTCCTTCGTATTTACAGGAATAGGTTGGATGGAGGTTCTTCTGAATGGTTCTTCTAAAAAAACCCTAAGTGTCATAAATAAATAAATTGGAAAGCATTAGTACTGTGCATTTTTTTGAACTGGGAAGCACTTTGGTTTGGTATGAATGCATCTTAATATGCAAGATAAAATATTTTATTCCATCAAATTCTCAAAGAGGAAAGGAACAAAACAGTCTGCTAGTGCATGGTATTTCTGTTCTGAGTTTCATGAAACATTTCCTCATGAAAAATTAAAAATATAGAGACATTTGAGATAAGTAAAAGCATAAGGAACGCTGTCCTGAGGTACAGGATTGACTACATGTCTTCCTGAAGTCCCTTGAGCCTTGTGTTTTTGTCTTTTTTTTTTTTTTTGGTAATTGAACTACAGAGTTTATTTCAAGCCCATTTCTAAATTACACAATCATTTCAAGGGATATAAAAGACATATACATACTATTAATTAAAGGGCAGCTTCTGTTATTGCAATTAGTAAAAATGGCTGTGTGTAAGTAACCTGTGCTACTTAAAGGGATTAAAAACAAACAGTTCTCCTCCATTGTTTCCATCAAAGCCAAATAACCAAGCAACCAAGCAAACAAATCCAGGCAACGCTAAGAATTTTGCAGTCAAATATAATTTGCCCAGTCTTTGTGTTTGTTTCTAAATAATGGATCTACAATTTTCAGATGATCTGTATTTTTGAGAAGAGCAATTCATTCATATTTACCTACTTTACACCTCTGTATTCAGAACAAACATCATCAATAAAGATATCTCTGCCAACTGCAATAGGATCTGGGGTCAGAGCCTCAGCTCATGCAAGCTAGTGTAGCTCCACTGAAGTCACTGATTTATACATCCCACAGATCTGGCCTTAGTTAAAGAAATTAGATACAACTTCTATCTGAAAGTTATAGACCTAAGCCTGGCACTAATTTCAAATGAGTTTTGTCAGTGACTTCTTTGGAGAGAGCTGAATCAATTTCTCAAGACCACAATAACGTGAACAAGATAGGCTGCAAATAAAGAAATGTAGACTGAACTTTAGTTTGAGATTTCACCATTGTTTGAGACCATCCACATTCAGCAAAGCAATTTGGGACAATCCTGACATTCCAAGCCCACTGAGACCCAGCTCATGTTACCAAGACCACTGTGAATGGCCTTAGTTCCAACAAAATCAATGGCAAAATTCAAGGGAACCAGATTTTTACCTAATGATTAGTCTCTTCAGATGTGTCTTCACTAGGAAAAAGCTCTGTTTTTAATCATGTTAAATAACATGAAGAAAAATCTTATCGCAGACAGTGTGTATTTTCCCTTAAGACAGAATGTTAAATTAAAACATATAGGTAAGTCTAGTTTTTCAACTCGACCTCCTAACTCCTGTGAAAACAATAAAGAGCACTGTCCTCATTAGAAGTTTATCTTAAAACCTAGAGCTTGAGTTAGGAGTACAGCTCTTTCTTCCTTAATAACAAAAAGACCTGAAAACTCAAACTGAGTTGCATAAAGCAACTGTCTTTGCAAGACTGGCACCTGTTGGCTTGAACCCAAATCCGGTAAGTCAGTCAAAGGCAAGATGTCCCTAGGTGGGGTGTGGATCAGGTTTCAAATTCTCATCTACCCAGCAAGTGGATTTGGATCCACTCTCATCCCTGAGATGAAATCCTAGAGACAGGATCCGCCTCTCTCCTCCCTGAGGCTGTCGAAGGCAGCTCTGGACACCCGAGAATATGGGGTAATATCTTGTTACGGCAAGAAATGGAGTAATCTCTGCTGAATCTCAGAGAGTGGCACTGAACTTTTGCTTTCCAAACCTTTCACGGTACTTAATGTAGCTCTAGCTTTATCACTGTAACGCTCTTCACCAGCTATGTTGGGACCAGAACATTTTATCTTCCCACTTCTTTATATTTCTCAGAAACTTTCTGTAAAAAACATTTTGATCATCTCTAGATGGCACGTGATAAGGAGGGTTCTCTCCATACTTGTGCAAACACTTTGTTACAGATTATCCACTTCTCTATCTTCATGTTCAGATTGATTTTAGCCTTAATCTTTGTGCCTTTAAACAAATGTATACGCCACTTTCATTTTTTGTGTTCTGTGCATGTTCGCATATGCATAAATAGGTGCGCAAAGCTATGGTCAAACATACAGCTAACATTTGATTCCTCTGACAGATGGTTCAGACTCCTGTATTCCATTTGAAATTTCACATGTGCACATAGCAAAGTATGGAAATGGCATTTCTAAACTATAATGAAAGCAAGTGTAATAACAAAAAAAGCACAAAATCTGAGTTTCAACAATAAAAGCAAGCACATTTGACTGTAAGGCAACCTCTCTTTTCTTAAGTTCCTTTGCTATGCATCTACATAGCAATAGATGTAATAGGCACAACTTGGAGAAATATTTCAATGACATCACACCTCAAAGCTGCTTCAATTGTGTTCACAGTCCTTACTATCTACTCTTCAGAAATCATGTGTGAGGATGCCTTTGTTCATAAGAACACTTGCCAAAGCAAATTTTTGGCTGTGGGCCCTGATTAATGTAGTTACAAAATGGAATTAATTTCATGTGTGAAAGCAACGACTAAATGCTAGTTTATCCCAAGTTGATTACATACAACCTTGAAAGATAAATCATACATCTTGAAATGTATATGCAAATATCCCAAAACATTGATTGAAAGTGTCCACACAAAATAGCTGTTAAACCATCTTGTAAAGTGACTACATTTGCACAAAGAACAACAAAACAAAACAAAACAAAACAAAACAAAACAGTCTGTTTGGAAGCCAATTATAACTAGGAGAAAGAAATTATTTCTTTGCTGCAAATTGTTAGCTCAGTTTCTTGCACATACAGGCACTATTTTAAATTGTACATCAGACAAAAGAACTGTATCTGAAGATGTGAGTAGATTTTATATGCTGTCTGTTTATAATACCTAACAAAAACCTTAGCACAGAAGTTGGTGGGTAGCTGTTTAGTTGAGAGATTGGGACAAAGAGCTATTTCATAATGCCACACTATTGCTTTCTTGTCATTGTACCTGAATTAAGACATATTCATACATTTTATGTATTGTTTCAGTCTGGTATATGGGACACAGATGCTTAAGAATCATTTGTTCAGTTCCACAGTTTTCCCCATATATAAGTACTTTTCATTTGCACACATATATACTTACATGTATATAAAACCATTATGAAAATTACCACAAGCCTGCTATACACAGGATATTCAGGTCTTCGTGCATCTCATAAATTTAACTTTCGGCAGTGCTGTACAACTGAAGGAACTAATTCCATGTAAGAGTTACTATGATGTGGGACTCTAAAGCCAATCCAAAACCAAAATTTCACATTCAAATATTCCAGACTTTAGGGATGAACAGAACATGACTTTTGTGGCTTAGTCCCATGACACCAGTGCATGACATGTGTGGTCCCATTTGTTTACAAAAACTTATTCTTTTTCTACAGGAAAGAATAGCTTTCTTAAAGGATCTCAGGCTATTCAGGGAAATTTATGGCAGTGAAATCATTTAAGATGGGCTTGCCTATGTTACTCAGTTTTGGTTTATTTTTTATTTACTTGCTCAAAGCAATCTCTTTGATCTTTTCACGTAGCTTGGAGAGCCAGTTTTGGATTGAAAGCACATTTCAATATGCTTAAGAAGTCAAATAATTAAAAAATGTTTTTTAACTGGATGTCAATGCTTTCTAAATTGCTGGATGTTACTATTGTATGAGCATGTGGAAAGGATTTTTATTTTTGATTTTTTTACAGTAACTGTGAGAAGCACAGCAACACTGGCAATCCCAACAAATACTCAGGCAGAATCTCAACTATTGCATAAACAGCTTCACTCAAGTCACTGGAGAATGCTGATGAACGCTGGCTGAGAACGTGGCCAAAGAAACGTTTAAAAATGGAAAAATAAAAGCTAATGGTTAAACAACAAAAAATATCTAACTTTCTTGTCTTCTTTTCCGAAGCAAACAGTGCAAAAATCAACTATATTCCTTATGCATATGAAGATCAGCAGCATAGCCAAATACGGCTTATCATCAGGACTGGATGTTCTTATTCGCTTCTAATCTGTCTTTGTATTATTTGACAGTGCAGTTCAGAAAGTCTGGATAAATGGAGAAGGAGCTGGAGAGCTATTTCTAATTCCCAGTTTCCCACTGGGCCATTTACCTTGCAACCTTCACAAGTGATGCAGCGATAATGATATCCGGTGGCTTTGTCCCCACATACTACACATAGCTCATCCTTGTCTAAGTAACTGGGTATATACCCTGGAAAGAAAAAGAAAGTGGCATGTAAACACTAAATATCATATTAAAATCCAGTGCCAACCTTGTCTAGCAGCCCCACACTTCTGAACTTGCAGAGCCACTGGCTGCATTCCCTAAATAAAAAGCTCAGGCTAACAATGTTACAGACGAATTCAAACATAGTCTGTATTACCTTCCATTTTTCAAACTGTTTCAGCATGTACTGGTCAAGAGGGACAAGTCAGAACATGATTATTCTCTCCTGAATGAAATAATACTTCAGAAAAATAAATATTTATTTTTACGTCAAAGGCATTGATGTGAAAAAAAAAAAAACCCCAAGTAACAGTGAAACATACAGTGCATTTCTCTTTCCTGTTTCACAGAAAACCTCATGTGCTTCTATACTGCAGTAAGATGAGATTCCAGCTTGCAAAGTGACTCAGAGGCCTGTTAGGAAGAAATATTTACCAACGATTCGTTTGCTTCAAAACAGTTCTGCAGGTGTGGCACGCAAAGCACCAGCAACAGAGAGCGAAAGCTGGACTGATCACACCTCACCTGGGTGCGTTCCACAGCACCGTTTAATACAGCTTGAATTCAGGACAACATACGTGGGCATTCAAATATGTGCGTGTGTGCGTGCATGTGTGAGAATGATATTTTCTCCTCTGAAGGTTTAGCAGACATCCAACAAGTGGAATCAAATATTAGTACGAGGAAAAACATTGGCTATGCTTGGTTCTTTTCCCATAACAACATTTGTTTTGCTAATATAAACATATTTTCAATTTGAGTAAAAAACCAAAACACCATTCTGATAGCAACCAAAAAGTAATTCTGAACTATGGAGAACTTTGAAACAGAGTGAAATATAAAGCTTTCAAAGTGAGCGTTTTGACAATTTAGAATTAATGGAGTTATGATACATAACCTTCACATATACTTTACAATACATAACTTTTCTTTATCTCTGTAAAGATGCAATACAAAGATTCCCGGCTTCACTTTGAGGGAATAGTGGAAAATGCAGCTATTTACATAACCCTGTGAGATTATTAAAATAGAGTAACTACTTCACAGAATCACAGAATAGTTGGGTTGGAAGGGATCTCGAGATCATCTAGTCCAACCCCCTGCTCAAGCCCAGTCACCTAGAGCAGGCTGCCCAGGACTGTGTACGGTCAGATTTTGAATATCTCCAAGGATGGAGACTCCACAGCCTCTCTGGGCAACCTGTTCCAGTGCTCTGTCACCCTCACAGTAAAAAAAGTTTTTTCTTAGATCCAGATGGAATTTCCTGTGTTTCAATTTGCGCCCATTGCTTCTTGTCTTGTCAGTGGGCACCAATGAGAAGAGTCTATGTCTGTCCCCTGATCAGGTGTTTATACACACTGATAAGATCCCTCCTCAGTCTTCTCTTCTCCAGCTAAACAGTCCCAGATCTTGCAACCTCTCCTTGTATTAGAGATGCTCCAGGCCCTTAATCATCTTTGCCGTCTTCGCTGGAGCTGCTCCAGTACGTCCATGTCTCCCTTGTACTGGGGAGCCCAGCACTGGACATGGCACTCCAGATGGAGCTTCACCAGGGCTGAGTAGAGGGGGAGGATCACCTCCCTCCACCTGCTGGCAACACTCTTCCTCATGCACCCCAGGACACCATTGGCCTTCTTGGCCGCAAGGGCACACTGCTGGCTGATGTCCGATTTGCTGTCCTCAGGTCCTTCTCTGCAAAGCTGCTCTCCAGCTGGTTGGCCTCCTGCCTGTACCAGTGCATGGGGTTATTCCTCCCTAGGTGCAGGATTCTGCACTTGCCTTTGCTGAACTTCATGTGGCTCCTCTCTGCCCATTTCTCTAGCCTATCGAGGTCACTCTGAATGGCAACACAGCCCTCTGGTGTATCAGACACTCCTCACAGTTGTGTATCATTCGCAAACTTGCTGAGGTGCACTCTGTCCCATCATCCAGGTCACTAATGAAGAGGTCAACGGTACTCGCCCCAGCACTGACCCCCTTGGGGACACCACTACTGACTAGTCTCCCACTGGACCTCGTGCTGCTGATCACTGCCCTCTAAACTCAGCACTTCAGTGAGTTTTCAGTCCACCTCATCACTGTCCACTTATCTAGCCCATACTTCATCAGTTTGTCAATGAGGATGTTACGGGAGACAGTGTCAAAAGCCTTGCTGAGGTCAGGATAAACAATATCCACTGCTCTTCCCTCATCTGCCAAGCCAGTCATCTCATCATGGAAGGCTATCAGGTTAGTCAGGCACAGTTTCCCCTTTGCAAATCCATGCTGACTACTCCTAATCACCTTCTTGCTCTTAATAAGCTTGGAAATTATTTCCAGAATTATTTGCTCCAGCACCTTCCCAGGGATCGAGGTGAGGTATGTCACACATAAAAAGACAAAGGGTATTTTGCAGATGGTTTTTTGTATCAGACAAGTGGCCTTTTCTCTTCCATGCCTACTTTATCCAAGCCATGATAGTTTAGGGGGAAGAGGTTGATCCAGGGAATGTTTTCAGTTTCATATTTTACCTGACAAAAAGCACAAGATAATTGTGTAATCACTGGTGTAAGTACTTCTGCTGGTTCATAAAATGATATGCAAAATAACTATGAATTAACTCTCCTCCCAGAGGAAGAAAAATCCCCTTTCGACACTTAGCTTGGAGGCAGGAACTGCTCACAGAGCTTTGTTGAAGTGTTGGTACATCGCCATACTAAAATGATGATTTTGTAAAATTAATTGTGCTTACAAATTATATTTCTTCATCTTCCATCCCAACTATGACGGGTGAAACCATGAGCTATGAAATGGTTGGTGTGATTTATTCACAAAAGGCTAGGCTGTCCTGTGATGCCGAACAGCAGCGAGACCTTGCTGCACAGGACCTGAGCTGACTCCTCTCTAAGCAGAAAAGGAGGAAATGAGCAGCATGATAATTTACGTATGTGCCTGTGTTTTGAAGGGATTTCTTACCCTCTGATTTGCTTGTTTAAACACCCCAACACAATGCAGCTTTAGTAGGGTAGATTCCTACCAAACCAGGTGACTGTGGGCAATTATTAGGTGTGCAATGACGGAGAGTCCCTTGGAGGTCGCTGGCTGTAACATTATCCCTTCTCTCGGCTTGCTGAACCCATCTGTAACTCAACATGTTAAACTTTCCTCCAAGCTTGCTGTGTTTGTGCAGCACTCAGAGCAGCAAGGCTCAGGACAGCCCAGGGATGCAGCACGCCATGGTCGCATGGAGAGCAACTGGTAGCAAGCTCTAGCGTGGCATAAGGCAGTCAGAGGAGGCTGTAAAATAGACAGGCGTCATCTTCCTGCGACTAACACCCCAGAGGGGCAGCTCAGTAGCTGGCAGCTTAATTACAATGCCTTCATAGGACTATACTTGCCAGAGGTTTTCCAGAAAGAGCCAAACTAAAGAGAAAATACTTGAAATTCACTGAGCTTAAATTAAGTGAACCTTCTAGGGGTTGATGAGTGGATTAGGAGTAAGTATGGAAGAAAGACGGCAGGAAGTATTTTGTACGGTCAACTTTAGATATCCAGTTTGAGCATAATTAAGAGGCCCTAAAATTAGATAGGCACAAATACCCCGTTATGTAACTTTGGGAAGCAGGAGCACTCTGAAGGCATGCCCAGATGTCTGTGTCTCAGGTTTATTAATGCTCCTGCAATCTGAAAGGCGAGTAGGGGAACTGTTGGAGATCTTACTGATGTACCATATCGGTCTATGATATGGCAAAAGATCAGATGTACATTTAGGTTGCGTTTCTCCATTATGAACAAGTTGTGCTTGCACAAATACTGGTGGGCACGTGGAGCTGGTTCTGTGACCTTGGGGGAGGAGAGACAGCCAGGTTTCTACTCCAATTTACATCACTGGCTCCTAATGGACTTTGTGCCAGGGGAGGATTAGCAGTGGCGGTTATCTCTGACCTGCCCCCCTCTTGCTCACACCTGCCTCATGCAGCTGATGCAGGAGGCAGCAGAAGCAGCAAGGAGAAGCAGAATCTTCCACTGAATTTCTCATAAAGATTAAGGGCTTCTTGTTGTTGCTGGTGTCATGAAATCCAGCCTTAGCATAGCATAGACTCTAGCCTCTAAAATTCAGTATCCCTTGCTTGCTTCCTCAAGAGTTACTTCCAAATTAAATGCTTTGATATTTCATTAAGTATATAATCTGGTTAGCACTGCTCATGTAATGGCAGCTTTGTTCTACTGGAGGAGCAGGAGACCACTTCTTTAAACCACCTCCTTAAACAGAGACAGTAGATTGCACATGTGAGCATGGGTGTTCCTATCCCTCTTGAAGTTTCATGACTTCGTTCAACCCAGAAAACAGTTTCCAATCTGGCAGAGAAGACAAATCTCCTATAGGCAGTCCTAGTCAGAAATTAAAAACGGCATCCCTAAATGCCACCACATTCCCCATTTTGCTATATCAGAAGTATTACATGATATATTTTTAAGCTACTTAAATGTGATGTTCATTACTTCTGGAGGATCACGCCCACATCACAGGGTAAGCCCATACTGTGAACTCCCTCACTGATTCAGCATTTTTTCAGCAGGAAACATGGATAGAAAATTCTTATCCCAAAAAGTCACTGACAATAGAAGTGTGCAATAAACATTTTTTCTCTATATTAAAAACTCGAGAGTGATGTTTACACTTGTGTTCATTTTTAAGTCTCCTTCCAGCAGCTAATGGCGGCAGAAACTGCTAGGAAGTAGAAGAATTGGACCTTCAGCAGAGTTTTAAAAAGATACATGCTTCAGGCAAACAGACATCAGGCCAAGGGGAATAATGGGATCCACATTCAGTTCTTGCAGACCTTCTACTATAAATATTTTCTAGTTGTTGCAACTCTTCAGTCTGACCTGCACTTACATTTCACTGCGATTTTGGCTTCCAGACTTGCAGATAAGCAATTTTTGCTACTATTCAGTGTTTGAACCAATAGTAGCAGAAATTCAATGGTATTTTTCTAAACGTG